GAATATTGAAACAGGGGCTAACTAGGTGGATTTACTCCCAATGGCGCCAATGGCAAGGCTTGTCCAAATAGGACCGGTGCCTCTGTATCCTTGCGGGAGGACTGTCCATGTCAATTGTTATTTTATCATTTTTCCTCCCTTCTCTGAAATAGGATACTGCTTTTAGAGACTGTCTGGCCTGGTTGCTTTAAAGCAATTTGAAGAGATTCCATGTCTAATTTTCCATATTTTCCTGGAACTGCCCACAGTTGTGAGTTCACTTCAGCCTAGCTTTATCAAACTCTTTGCACAAAGTTACAGTAGTGCTAACTTCTTTCTCATCCTCCACAATATCAACTGACATTCCCAATCTAGCCATCAACTCCAATTCCTCAGCAGATTGCAATCACAATTTGGGACAAAAAGAAAACCACGCGTCTCAAATTTATTACCCACATCCACTAATAGCGCTGGATAAGATGCACTTGCTTTTCTTTTCCACTTACCCCTTGGATAACCAAGGAGCCTTTTGACAATTGCCCTCCTTTTGGCATTAAGTTCAAAGTGGATTGAGAGGTCCCTGTGTCTATCCAGAAACACACTTTCTCTCGGTCTGGAACCACCCTACGTGTTATCAAGGGCTCCCGCATAGTGGGTCCCTGGTATAATGGAAGCCCCTGACACCTCTAACAATCCATTTAAAATTCAATCAGTGAATTTCCTTTTCCTGATGATATACTGGCCTCTGTGAGCATTCCCCCAAAAACCTTCCTCTCTCCTGAAGACAGGCTAAACTGCATTTTGGACCTCCCATAATTGACAAGCTTTTTGCAAGATTATCCTCTTCCCCTGGGATCCAAAAAGGATTCCTAAAAGAAAATCCCAAACCTTCCAAGTGTAATCTGCATTTCTTAGATATTCATCTATCTTTTCCCCCACTCCATAGGATCATATAAATAAGGGGACAGTTCTTTAATCGCCTTATATCTTGTGTGATTGGAGCACAACCACAAATCCAAGCTGTGCCCCCACCCCATCCTGGCCTCGCAGTGGAACCTGGTACAGAGGCATTTGGCTTTGGGGGCTTTTGGCACCTCGTACTACTGGCTTCCTTTTCTTGTTTTGAAAAGGACAAAATGTTCCATTCCTCCTCCTCTTCACTGTCACTAGAAGCAGGAGGTAGAGACAGGAGCTGTGTTTCCTGATGGATTTTGATGATAAGATGGAAAAAGGTACTGGAGGACATCCCACGCCTCCTTATCTGTTTTCTTTTCCCCTTCTTCAGATTCCTGCTTCCCTTTTTCTCCTCTCTCTTTTGGCTTCCCTTTGCTGCCCCCTCCCTGGGCGTCCACATCGGGGTCATCACCCTTTTTGCTCCCTGCTGTTCCACAGTACTCACCAGTGAGATTTCAATGGTCCTTTCCGTCGGACCTAGTCCTTTCCGTCGGACTTGGTGCTACCCGGAGGTCCTTTCCGTCAGACTTATCACTACCTGGAGGTCCTTTCCTTCGGACCTAGTCCTTTCCGTCGGACTTGGTGCTACCCGGAGGTCCTTTCCGTCAGACTTATCACTACCTGGAGGTCCTTTCCTTCGGACCTAGTCCTTTCCGTCGGACTTGGTGCTACCCGGAGGTCCTTTCCGTCAGACTTATCACTACCTGGAGGTCCTTTCCTTCGGACCTAGTCCTTTCCGTCGGACTTGGTGCTACCCGGAGGTCCTTTCCGTCAGACTTATCACTACCTGGAGGTCCTTTCCTTCGGACCTAGTCCTTTCCGTCGGACTTGGTGCTACCCGGAGGTCCTTTCCGTCAGACTTATCACTACCTGGAGGTCCTTTCCTTCGGACCTAGTCCTTTCCGTCGGACTTGGTGCTACCCGGAGGTCCTTTCCGTCAGACTTATCACTACCTGGAGGTCCTTTCCTTCGGACCTAGTCCTTTCCGTCGGACTTGGTGCTACCCGGAGGTCCTTTCCGTCAGACTTATCACTACCTGGAGGTCCTTTCCTTCGGACCTAGTCCTTTCCGTCGGACTTGGTGCTACCCGGAGGTCCTTTCCGTCAGACTTATCACTACCTGGAGGTCCTTTCCTTCGGACCTAGTCCTTTCCGTCGGACTTGGTGCTACCCGGAGGTCCTTTCCGTCAGACTTATCACTACCTGGAGTAGTATATTTCAGGCGCTAAACACTCTGCATCTAATGCACGTTTAATACGTCCGTATGAAATAATTAGATTTGTTGAGCGAATAAGCTAAATGAACAAAAGAATGTTTTATTTAAATGATAATCTTCAAGAATTACCTCAACACTTAATTAGTAAGAGTATTAGAAACATAACAAATAATATTTACAATTTCCTAATTACCCTAATTTTTATGTAAATTGTGAATATCTAATTTAGTAAATATATATATATATATATATATATATACTAGCAGCATCACAACAGGGATGTCTAAAGCCCACTGCACAAACACATGATGAGACACCTGAAGGATTTATAGCTTAAATACAAACATAGGAATGCAAGAAAAGGAACTTTAATCCAATTTACACATGAAAGAGAAACACTGATGAAGTGACTAAGATCAGAAGTTAAACCTTCCATATCTAGTGTCTTTGCTACCAGACTGTCAGTTGCTAGAGATCAGCACTGTAGATATGAAAAATTCAAGGCTGCAGGCCAAGATAAGAATATTCAGCACAGGATGGTGTGGTGAAACATATTTTAGACATCTGTTTATCCTTAGTTCTGATTAACACTGGGATCTTTGCAAACAAACTTACTTCTGGAAACTGAGCACCGGTCCCCTTTTCAGACACAAACTTCCATGTTTTAGAAAACATACAAAAGCCCTGGTGATATCTCAAGCTATAGAGTGAAGCAAATACCTAATAATATTTTCTTCTCCCATACATAATTTCCAAAAGGATACTGCAAATTTCAAGCTAGCTGTAGAGTCTTCCTTTACATAAAATGTCTGCAAACAGGAACTAAACATAACTGGGAGAAGCAAAAGATACTTCTTTGACTGAGTTCTTTCAGAAAACAAGTTTCAGATTTCAGCACATAATGCAAACACACAAATTCCCTTCTGTGTGCCTCTTGTTATAAAAGAAATACTTCATATTCTTAGCTATCACAAAAGTAACAAGAGCCATTATTTATACTGGCTAGGCATGTTACTTCCCATTACACTCTAACAATATGCATTGTACATATTGTTAGTACATTGTATTAGTATTTGTTAGTACATGGTATGGTTTTGTAGCGCTCACTCTACAAAATAAAAGTGGAGAACCAGCCTGTGTGTCTGTAAGGAAAAAGTAGTGCAGAGTCTGGAAAGGTTCATCCTCTTGCGCTGCTTCCTAGCAAGGGTTTAATTAAAGGTAAAAATGAGATGTATAGTAACTTTAATAAAGATAACACACACACAAACATCTGTGAGCTATGTTTTACAGAAGATTTACATCTCACTGTACTGTAGCTATGGAATATTTTAAGCCTGTAACAATGACATGTTAATCAAAATGGGAATGATTTCTTAAGTAGATCCTACTTTTGCCATGTGAATTACTTCATGTGTACGCTCTATCTGACCATGCAGTCTTTTATGGCAGGAATTTTATGAGAACTTTGCTTTTGAAGACATGCGTATTGTTCATCTTTCTATTTAATTTCCTCTGTTTACACGATAACTGTGTTATTCATTTTAAGATATATTCCCGGTCTCTTTGCTCCTCTCCTTCCCTCCCCCAAATCCAAATCTCATGACAACCAATAGTCTTTAGTACTATTCCTATTTAGATGGTTTGAAGAAGTTAACAAATGAATGCTTAACATTTTTGTTATATTTGTATACAAAATATTTAGCTACTAAATACATAGTATTAACAACAACCATCAACTCATTATTCAAATAAAAATATTTCTGTTATGATCAATAATACAAACATCTTATAATAACAAAATATGCATAAAAGATACCCCAAAACAACATTACTTGTGAATTAGGAAATCCTGAATGCTAGTGTTTCCCATTTAGAAGACACAAATGTTCTGATTTCCTTTGATCCTACTGATTAAGTTTTACAGTATTTCTTCCCACTTCAAGTTTATTTTAACATTACAAAACAACAAGAAGTCCGTCAGAAACTAGTTGAAACATACTTATCTTTATCCATCAAGATATAATTCTACAGAGGAAGAACTATTTAGGTAGAATTAAAAAAGCTTCATGTACTAAGAGATCAAGGATTCTTGTTTGCAGGATACCTAAACCTAGACAGTACCAGTATTAAGAGACAGGAAAAAAAAAAAAGTCAGAACAACTTACAAAAGCAACTTTACAGGCATAATTCATCTTAAACACCTACCTGCTTCTGTAGCCACCGTTCTCGCCTTCTTTGTTTTCTCCTTAAGCTTTTCAACTTGTTTCTTTCTCTCTTGCTCAGCTTTTGTTTTAAGGAAATATTTGCAGGTTGCACAAGATCAACAGGTGCCACGTGCTGTTCCTCTTCTACAGCACTTGTAGATGAAGAAAGGTTCATCGCAAAAGGTGACTGATCTGCAATGGCACTCCCAGAATATTGCCCAGTAGCTTCAAAATCACACTCACTTTCTGTTTCTCTATGTACTAATGCATTAAAGGAGGTAACTTGAAACCTTTTCTGTACTTCATCAGCATTTGAACTATACTGGTCCTGAAAAACAGTCTCACCTTTCTGACGAGACCCTAATTGCAAGTCACATCTTGTGTAAACAGGTGGATTTTCATTTTGGCCACAGCAAATAGTTCCCACACTGGAAGTTCCATATAAAGCAGGCAACAAAACAAGACTCTCTCTGATATTTAAATCCCAACTGTGCGATCTTCTGTGAAAAGCTTTTACAGTACATGCACCATTCACAGGCCAGGCAGCAGAAGGATTTTGTCTTTGCTTTAATGCATCTAAGGGAAGCCTTTTACTCTTCATCTCAAAACTGGGTGATCTTACTTCCAGACAAAGTGCTTCTGTTAATCTTCCACTACCATTATTATTTCTGGCCATGTATGAAAACCCTTGATTTTTGATTTCCAAAGCTGCAGATATCAGTTTGTGGTGGGGATCTGTGTTAAAATCAGATTTAATTTTGCAGAGCATCAAGCGTTTGGCTGATGGTTTTGCCACTTTAACAGCAAAAGCTGCCTGATAGTCAGCCCGACTCTTGCAGAAATGTATATTTACAAACTGTCCTCAGGAGCACTTTGTGTTGCAAAGTTAAAGCCCCCTAAGCGGGCCTCACAAAAGGGACAGTGCAGTTTTCCAATTGTCCACTGTGCCTATTAGCAAGAAAAGAAAAAAGAACAACAGACTCATTGTAAATGAATGATTAAGAAGCCATTACTAGCTTAACTTTTCTCCTTTAATGAAAAACAAAAAGTAAACCATTTTAAACACAGAAAAAGAGACTGCCCAGAGGAAAAGAAAAAAAGAAAAAAGGGGGGGGGGGGAAGGCCCGAAAAAGGCCCGTTTTCTCAGTGGATATCTGGAAGCTTGTTCCCCTAAACTATTTTGTGTGGGCGGCATAGCGCAACTGCTGAGAAGCTCAATAGGGCTTTTCACAGGCTTGAATTATCATGTGTGTAAAAGAGACATAACTTAAGACAATGCCAGAATGACAGGAGAGTTGTTTTTCTGTTTGCCCCTTACTATGGTCTGATGTCACTTTGGTCTTTTCTGAACTGCGTCAAAAGGCTTGACTTTTTGCGCAAGCTTTTTCCAATGTTCTTCTTTCTAACAGCTTCTGTTTTTATCCCCTTGTGCTAGCTATACACAAAGAAACCTTTTACATTTACACATTCAACTCAAACGTTATGCTATAGTTATACATACTCCGACTGCTGAAGTGTACAATACTAACTGTCAAGGAAGCTGTGCCATAAAAATTGAGTATTAAAAGAATTTGTGCTCTCCCACACTCTAAATGTCTGATTCTGCAATCAATTTAACAACTACACTTTTATTTATTTTTCACTGACCAAAAAACTTGAGATCCTCAACCTAGACTGCCTGCACAGCAGTTTGACTAAACCACATAAACCACTGATGACAAGTTATCAGTGACATCTGAAGTGATGCAAACTTCTCCCTATCTAAATAGTGTCCAGCAAGCAATCACTGCTTTACAGCAAAATAAAAGTCTTTTCTTTAATAAATACTTTTAAAGTATTTACTTAGTTGTGCACAGACCTTTCAAGTAAAAATACACTTTAGTAACAGAAAGGAACGTATAATGCATAATAATCTACATAGCATAGGTTGTATTTTGTGTAACCAAGAATGCTGATAGTAAATTATAAATTTAAAAAGCCTCATAAAGCACAGGTAATCCTCAACACAGTGTTACAGGAGGTTGATGTGCTCTGGCCTAGCGAAATTTGAAAGAGGAAATTCTTGTCTATTACAATTCTGCACATTTGTGCCTCTCTGCAGTTCTTACAAAGGAACACTACCATTGCACATTAATACATTGCAGAGGTTTTTACACATACCACATTAGAAAACAGCAAATTCTGATTTGTTGTATGAGCATTCTTATTTTCATCTGCACAAGGGTAACTCAAAAGCACATAAACACTAAATAAAATTTAAATACAGTGTCCTGGATATATTTTTATAAGTTTTTATCCTGTTTGCATTTTAAACTATTAAAAGGCCTCTTGTTCTCACCTTGCTTTGTCTTTTAGCAAAAATACCACCATCAAGGCTACAGATTCCACTTTGAGAGCCAGGCACACAGAAACTAGAGTGTTGCCCCAGTTGCCCTTTTTAGCTTGGCACACGACCATGTTCATTGTAGCTAAACTGTTTCCAGATCAGTTGGCCTGTGAGCTCATGTTTACCTCCAAAATAGCATGTAGACATATTTGAGTGTCAGAAAGTCTAGGTCCCTCTCTGACTCTGTTTTACGTCCTTAAAATCTTTTTCTATGATTCAGTCCCAGAAAAGCTATCCTTCCCAAGATAGACCTCAGTCCTTGTTCCTGAAAAACACTTATCTGACCTTCTCTTAGAGACCATCCATGGATTTTCCACAGCCTTCTCCAATGACTTCAATACCTTGTTATCTTTAGCATTATAACTTTTCTCCTTAACATGTAGCCTGAATTTTCTTGCAATCTAGGCCTTACTCTTTCTTATCCACCTTGAATAAAGAGAACAAAACATCTCTGTTATACTCAAGCACATTTTATAATTTGAAGCGCTTATATATTAGCTCCCCTTCAAACTTGTCTTTGGGCCAAATAAATGCAATTCTTTTGATCTTTCCTCATAGATGAGGCTTTTTTGATCTCCAGCTGTCACTGCTATTGTGAACTCTTTTAAATGGGTCTTACACCACTATAAGTGTAATGTTCTTCCACAACAGTGTTCAAATATGTACACAGAACTTGAATTATTACTAGCACTGAGTAGCCTGGATAGATTATATATATTTTATATATATACATATATATATATAATATATATAATCTATTATATAGCTGTATATATAGCTATATAGCTATCCCAATATGATGTCACGTCACTAAGTAGGTGAACAACATAACACTGATTCAACAACAACAAAAAAAAGGGGGGGGGGGAATGTCTTATAAAGGTGAAAGCTAACACAAAATTCATCAGAATTCACTTCTGAAAAAGTTGCTTTTTATATTTATAAGGACAGGAAAGGTGGGAAGATTAAAAAAAGAAATCTAACGGCAAACAAATTTAATAAGCAACTTCTGCATGAAATCTTCGTAGGTTTCTGATTCATACATGCTCCTGGAGACGTTATGGGGAAATGAAGCAGAGATCACATTTCCTCCACCCCTCCTTTATCTGGAAAGCCTATTAACAGCACCACAGAAAGCTAATGGAGCCATTCACAAAGAACACCCTGAGACATAGGTGAATGATTAAGTGTCAGACACTGCAACCAGCAAAACTATTCAAGCTTTCTGTTTATTCATCTCTTGAATGGGACTATTTCCCTTTGGACATCCTCTCACCAGTGGAAGGTTGTTGGTTTGTTTGTAAGCTAGCTCCCTTTGATATTTACGCTGAAGTTCCTTTTGCGGTCTAAACTGTATAGTGTATTTAGCTTTGTTCGTTTCTTGTCAAAAAGAATTGCTAGAAAACACAAGGTAAAGCCCAAGAAAAGTTTTTTTTAAGTGCACAAAGTGAAGGACAAAACATAAAAACCTATTTCTGTTGAAAGCCTAGTCCAGAATTTCTCTTTGACTAGGTTCTTCCTCCCCTCCAAAAGCATAAAAAGAGAAAAAGAAATAAAGCAAACCAAGTGGTTCTCAGTGCTTCTTAGTTCAAGGCATCCATGACCGCTGCGCATACTGCAGCCACCAAGGTGGCAACAGTAATTAGGTACAGCAAGAAACAAGGACACTGGAAGCTCTGCTTTAGTCACTGGGAGCTTTGAAAAAATGATAGATGGGTGGCACTATCAAATTAAGCGGGCAAAGTTACATGAGCTGTCCTAGCCAGTACAGATCTGGACCAGAAGTTCCTGCTCCCAGAACAAAATGACCTGACACTTCATTCCCTGAGAAGTGATCACGGAAACTATTAAGGTACATGCAAACAATGGCTGCTAAGTTCTCATCTCCTGACTATTTTTCCTCAGGGAGACACCATTAAAAGAACACTTCACCCACACTTCTCAAAGTCTGAAATAAAGTGACACTTTCATGCAAAAGCAGAAAAAAAAAAAAGGTTTAAAGAATTGCCTTCAGAGAGCCAGAGAAGCAAAGGAGCCAGATGAGTAAAAGGCCTCACACCTGCTCTCGTGCCAGCGCTGGCTGAACTATGACCCCTATTTTGTTCTGCCCTTCCAGCTAGCGGGGAGCAGCTTTCAGACGATGATGATGACAATGGACCGCCAGGTGACGAGGGCTAGTGATTCCCGCCTGACGCTATTCCTCGCGCAGTGAGAGTGGCCCGTCCCTGCAAGCTCTGA